CTACTACTGGTTCTTTTATTACTACTACTACTACTACTACTACTACTATTTCTATTATTGCTACTTTCGCTTTTTTGTCTACCACTATTGCTCGCACTGTTACGATTAGTTTTCCGGAATTAGTTTTACAATCACGATTCGTACTACTACGAATGCTACTGCTATTACTACTGCTACTAGTGATTTTCGTATTACCAGTTTTATCATTATTAGTATTACTACTTCTACGATTACTACTTTTACTACCACTACTACTGCGACTATTACTACTACTTCTGCCACTACTATTACTACTACGACGACTACTACTACTGCTACAACTTCTTTTACGGCGACGGCTACGACTACGACTACTACGAAATTTACTACTACTACTACTACTACTACTATTACTGCTACTACTGCTACTACTATTACCGGTACTACTAGTACTTTTACCGCTACTATTATCGCTACTACTAGTACCGTTGTTATTATCACTACCAGTACTACGACTACGTTTACTAACGACTACCACTACTACTGTCATTACTACTAGTGGTACTACCAGTACTACTAGTACCATTGTTGACACTACTATGCTGATGACTACTACTAGCACTACTAGTAGTACTATTGTTACGGTTGCTACTATCACTGCTACCACTATTACTATTACTATTACTATTACTACTACTACTACTACTACTACTACTACTACTACTACTACTGCTACTACCACGACTACTGCTATTCTACTTCTACTACCCTTACTATCATTACTACTACTACTACCATTACGTCTACGACCTCTTCTACGACGACGACGACGACGACTACTACTCCTACTACCACTACCATTATTACTACTACCACAACTACTGCTACTACTACTACTTCTACTACTACTACTACTAGTCTTTCTTATTCTTATTATTTCTACTACGACTATTAAAATGTTCATTGTGCATTCTAGTATTGCTACTACCAGTTCTAGAATTAGTACGACTGTTGGTTTTACTACCACTACTATCACTACTTCCACATTGTACTACTACTACTACTACTACCACCACTACTACTACTACTACTACTACTACTACTACTACTACTACTACTACTACTACTACTACTACTACTACTACTACTACTACTACTACTACTACTACTACTACTACTACTACTACTACTACTACTACTACTACTACTACTACTACTACTACTACTACTACTACTACTACTACTACTACTACTACTACTACTACTCCTCCTCCTCCTCCTCCTCCTCCTCCTCCTCCTCCTCCTCCTCCTCCACCTCCTCCTCCTGCTGCTGCTGCTGCTGCTGCTGCTGCTGCTGCTGCTGCTGCTGCTGCTGCTGCGGCTAGTAGTGTTAACATTGTGCGCATTATCGAGGACGCCTGCGGCGACGTCACAGGCCGCTCTCCAAATTTGCCACTTCGTGGCGATCTGGGGAAAAATGCTGGGGCGACGGCCGTGTCGAGTTTCTGCGGGAAGACATTTTGGTGCCATCTTGTGGCAGGGTGGTCCTGGAGGGGTCCCCGAGCCAAGATGGGTCGGACTTCACTCTTGGAGCCCTCTTGGGGCCTCCATTGGAGCTCACTGGGACCATTGGGACTTCCTCGTGGGGCCCTCGACAGCCCACGGGCCATCTTCTGCCGTCTTGGGACCGTCCCAGGACCATTTTGGGCTGTCTTGGAATCTCCTAGGACGATTTTGGGCTGTTCTGGGGCCATCTAAGATGTTTTTTTTGAGCTCTTGTGGAACGATAGCGCAGAATCGTAATAATCATGACAAACATAAGATTGTCAATGATTTTGTCCTTCCCGGTCCCGTCTGGAGGCGTCTTGGGGATCACTAGGGCCGTTTTCGAGGCGTCTTGGGGTACCTTGGAAGTGGCTTCGGGACCATTGTGGGCCATATGGAAACATCGTGGGGTGCGTGAGGCAACCTGATGCGCCATCTTGGCCCTCTTGGTCGTCTTGGTGGCCATCTTGGCCCATCTGGGGCTCTCCGGGAGGGCTCCTGAGGGGCGGTGTCAAAAAGTTGCTTGGGGTCGGCGACGGAGTTGGGCCCGCTCACGATCGCAGTGTCAGGGGAGGAGCAGAGTAGTAGGAGTGCGTTGGTCTTCGTCCTTGTCTCTGAGAATTTCCAAAGAGAGGGGGGGGGCAGATGAGTATGAGTGCGTTTGTCTTGGTCCTTGTTTTAACGATTCTCAAAAGACACGCGCATGGCAGCTGAGAGGAGGAGAGGGGTAGCGGGCACCTGTGAGCGATGTGGAAGAGAGAGAGAGAGAGAGAGATATATAGAAAGAGAGGAAGAGAAAGAGACAGAGAGAGAGATGGACCAAAAACTGTCCGGTCGGTTCCAAAAGCTGTCCCTGACGGGGTCCCGGTGGGCGTCCAGAGGGTTCGAGGGTGGTCCTAGAGAGGTCCCGAGCGAAGATGGAATGGCGGAATGCCTGGACATATGCAACGCTCTTGTTGGGGTCCTGTTGGAGCCATTTGGAATCCTTGTCGGCGCCTTTTGGAACTCTTTTTCTGTTTCTTCGGGTCATGTTGGAGCGTCTTGGGGCAATCTCGGAGCCTTCTTGGGCTCAGAGAGAGAGAGAGAGAGAGAGAGATACATAGAGAGAGAGAGAGAGAGATGGGCAAAAAACTGTCCGGTCGGTTCCAAAATCTGTCCTTGACGGGGTCCCGGTGGGCGTCCGAAGGGTTCCCAGGGTGTTCCTGGAGAGGTCCCGAGCGAAGATGGAATGGCGGAGTGCCTGGACATATGCAACGCTCTTGTTGGGGTCCTGTTGGAGCCATTTGGAATCCTTGTCGGCGCCTTTTGGAACTCTTTTTCTGTTTCTTCGGCCCATGTTGGAGCGTCTTGGGGCAATCTCGGAGCCATCTTGGGCTCTCCCGGGGATCTCCGACACCTCCGTGGCTCCTCTTCGGGTGTGTAGGACCAGCTTTGGAGGGTCTTGGGGCGCTCTTGGGCCGTCTTGGGGCCATCTTAGACCGTCTTGGGGGCGTCTTGCGCCGTCTTGGACCTGTCTTGGCGCTCTCTTGGAGACGTCTTGGAGCCATCATGAGCCCTCTGGGGGCCGTCTTGGGGCGCTCTTGGGCCGTCTTGGGGCCTTCTTGGGCCGTCTTCGAGCCCTCTTGGGCCGTCGCCAGGCCGTCGTGGAGCGAGAAGGCAGGAGAGCCGAAAACGTTGAAAAACTTCAGGACAAACAGTGTTTTGGTTTCTTGGCTCACCTTCTTGGGCTTCTGTTGGGCCATTTGGAAGGCGTTTCGGGCCATCTGAGGCCATCTTGGAACCATCTTGAAGCCATCTTGGCTGTCATGGAGCATCTTGGAGCCATCTTGAGCCGTCCTGGAGCTCTCTTGGGCCGTCTTGGACCGCTTTGCGGGCCATCTTGGGTCGTCTTGTGCCTGTCTTGGATCGTCTTGGAGGCCATCTTGGGCTATCTGGAGCTCTCCGGAGGGGCCCCGGAGGGCTGGGGCCAAACAGACCGGCGACAGATTTGGGCCCATGGGAGCTTTTTTTTGTCCCAAGGTGATCAAATTGACATATGCATCTCAGCACGGCGCCACCGCAAGCGGGAGCGGCCGGATCTAAAATTGTGTTCATTATCGAGGACGCCGGCGGCGCATCACCGGCCGCTCCCTGGGAGTTTTTCGAAGAGGTGCGCAGCATCGAAAGTCGTGACGCGGCGCGTATGCCAGCTATCAAATAGCCGTCGGCCCATCCCGCCACCGTGCTTGGGTTTTGGGTCGGACGGAGTCCTCATGGACGCTTCCTGGGGTCTCTCGAGAGGGCTCTCGGAGGCCTCTGCGGGGGAGTTTAGGGGCCTCTTGGCGTCCCAGGGGCTTCTTGGAGACCTCTTGGGGCCCTCTTGGGGCCTCTTGGGGCTCTCTTGGGGTTTGTTGGGGGCCTCCAGGGGGCCTCTTAGGGCCTCCTGGGGGCCTCTTGAGCCGAAAGCTCGAAATGTTCATTCGGGTTCCCCTTCTGGGCCTCCTCTTGGGGCCATCCTGGGGCCCCTCTTGGGCCGTCCCGGGGGCCTCTTGGGCGGTCTGGGGGCCCTCTTGGGCCGTCTTGGGGCCGTCTTGGGGGCCTGTTGGGCCGTCCTGGGGCGATCTTGGGGGCCTCTTGGGCCGTCGTGGAGCGTGGGTAAGCCGAAATGGCGTGAACGTGAAAATCCTTCAAAAACCATTGAAAAATCAATGATTTTTGCTTCTCGGGGCTGTCTTGGGGGTGCTCTTGGAGCCCTCTTGGGCCGTCTTGGAGGCGTCTTGGGCCGTCTGGAGGCCATCTTGGGCGTCTTGGAGCGATCTGGAACCGTCTGGAGGCTCTCTTGGACTGCTCGGGACTCTCTTGGACCGGCTTGGGGCGCCCTTGGGTCGTCCCCGGGCCGTTTGAGACCTTGAGGGGGGGGGGGCCGGCGGCAGAGTGGGGCCCCCTCGGAGGGACTTTCATGAGGTTTTTGACCAGGCACTGGAGAAGGGGGCCAAAGACTGTGCCAGACACTGTGTCAGAGAGGTCTCGCACGGCCCAACCCGCAGGGCGGGAGCGGCCGGATCTAAAGGCTGCCGCCTCTGCCGCCGACCCCAATTCAGCGACGCGTGTTTGAATAGTTTTTTGTCACGGTGCCTTCCCAAGCATGGCAGGGAGGGGTCAGACGAGACATCCAGGCCTGAACGTCTCCCCCTGCACTCCTGATTCCTTGCCCCTCGGACTTTTCCCTACGATTCATGATCCATTCCGATTCGATCCGATTTCCTGGTCCTAGACATCGGGCGTCCCCATTTTTTGAGACGCGGCCCCCCGACCTCTCAACTACTTCCCCGGGGTCAGTTTTTCATCCCGTCGGTTTTTGACGGTGCCGAGGCCTGGTGCGGGCTCCGAGAGGCCCAAATCAATGAAAAACCTTCGTCTCGATTTTTTCAGGACGATGGACGTGTTGGATTCGATGCTGGCTGATCCTGCCGTCTTACGAAGCGGGCCGCCCAGAGGACTCTGGGGCCCAGTCCCTCGCCGTGCTGCACGTGCCGCGCGAGAGCGCGGGCGAGGTGGGCCGTAAGGCTGCGCGCATCGCGGAGGCCACTGGCGCCTCGCTGGAGCACACGGGATCGGTGCTGAGGATCCCGCCATGGCGCAAAGGGGTCCTGACCCAGACATCAGGCGTCTCGAAATAGTCGAGACGAATGTTTTTCATAGGTTTCGGCCCCTCGGGGCCCTTACCGGGCCTCGGGACTGCCGGAAAACGACTTGGGATGAGAAACCGGTCCCCTGGGATTGGTCGAGAGATCGGGGGCTCCCGTCTCGAAGTTATTTGGGCGAAGGACCCAACCATATTCTATTGCGAGTATTGCGCCGAAGGCGATATGAAGGCGGGAGCCAGCAAAAGGTCCGCGGAGTGGACGGGGGGACGAGCGGGCATGGGCGAGCGGGGAGTCTTCGCGTGAGCTCCAGCGCCGCCATTTTTCGTTGCCATTTCCTCGCCAGCTCTTCCTCCCATCCGCTTGTTTCCACTGTGCGTTGCGTTCCTGCCCGCCTGGCCAACCATGGCCCGAGCCCCGGGCGCCGCCGTTTCTCTCCACTCTTTGTCCCTTCGCCCTGGCGCGGCCCTGGGCAGGGCGCTGCGCTGAACCCCCGCGACGTGCGCTGGTCGCCCAGAATGAGTCCCGGCGACGCGGGTCGTCCGCGGCACGGGGCAGAACAACAAGTGGCGGGTGACAATGGGCGAGGCACTAGACAGCTCCACAACGGGTGTGCGGCGTCACTTGGGACGACGCAACACGCGCCATCCTCCAGCCTATGCCGCCCAGAAGCCGAGGGCAGACCACCGAAACCACTTCCTGGGATCTGGGGTGCGCGGTGTTACGTACGACAGCGCAGTTCGCACTATCACCCAGGCCGTGCCTCCAGCAAACATGGGAAGACCGCCGAAGCCCCTCCCTCGGAGAAAGGCCCGCCATCCTGCCAGCCGCAATCAGCAGAGCCCACTTGATCGCAAAAACCACAAGTTGTAACGCGATAGGAGACATCCGACTGCACAGAGCACTGAGAAATGCCTGTTACAAGCCCACGAGGCCCGCCGCGAATTCAGAGTGGCTCTGTATACCAGCTGTGTTCAAGAGAGACCATCGTGATTAAAAGGCTGCACAACACACTCTGAACAGGAACAGCCCATTCAAATATATCACGTGTGAGTGCGGCGAACGACGAGAGAATACGTAAACACGTTGCGCGGATAATCCAACACTGCTCGCTCAAGTTTACACGTGCTCACCACGATGGTCGGCCGAAATGCTGCGATACCCTCGAAGTGCGCCAACGGCAGTTCGGGGGCGCCGAAGGGCGAGCCCACGAGGCTGACTGCTTCAGCCGAGCGCTGCTGTGCCATCCAGCTTCACGAGCGAAGAGAGCCAGAGCGGACCCCTGCGGGTCGACGGAGCTGAGTTGCCGAGCCCGCTTGAAGCACAGTTGGGCGTGCAAGAGGCGGTCGAGGGCCTCCGAACGCTCCGCGGGCACACCGAGGATGAGCGGGATAGCAACGCTCGCCTCCATATGCCGTTTGGCCTTGCTCGACCGCCTGGGTCCACCGCCGCCTTGGACTTGCCCAGAGGAGGCGGCGACGATGTGGAGAACAAAGGGCGGCACGAACTTCAGCTCCTGGGACAGCGAGCCGTGGGTGTCGCCGTCCAGTGACTGATCCGCACCGAGGTGTACAGACTGACAGAAGCCCGTGCGGCTGCAGCACGGAACATGCCCATCCTCGGAGTCACAGTCGAAAAAGGGAAGGTGGAATAGATCAACCTCCGAAGGCTCGCGGGGCGGAGTCTCTGGTCCAGCGCCCGTGTGGGTCGCAGTGCCCGCCGAGACGTGGGTTGCCTCCTCCTGCTCCTCGCGTTCGCCCGTGTCGCTAGCCGACGGGAGGGAGCACGAAGCCACGCTCGCGCGCTCCGTCCACGGAGTTGTCGATGCCCTCCAGCTCCTTTGGCTTGCATCCGAACTCGCAGTTAGCATGCTGCACTGCCGATCCCTCTTCCGCATGCTCGAGCTCCTCCTGCCACCAGCGGGGCCCCCGAGACCAGCGGAGCAGGCTTGGGAGCAGACGCCGTGCGCACCCGATCAGCCAGGGCGAAGCGGGCGCCCGCCGAAAGGCTGCGCCGGCGCCAGAAGGCGACCTCCCATTCGGCCGACACGCCCTCTGCGGCTGAGCGAGCAGTGGACTGGCGCCGGTAGGGCTGGGCGTCGGCTGCCGGACGCGACTGCCGAGCCCTCCTCCTTGGCTGCCGTGCGCTGCAGCCGCATGGCAGCAATGGACGCGGCACGCCTCGACGCGCAATGGAGCCCCGCGTTTCGCCGAGAGCGAAGCAATGGTGGCGGGGCCGCAGCTCTCCTCTGGTGTGCAGCGTCTCCTGGGACAGCACAGCACGCGTTGTCCTCCAGGTCGTGCCTCCCTCGGGGCGAGGGACGACCACCGAAGCTACTCCCAGGGAGCTGCGTGCGTCCGCCTCCGCCTGTCTGCTCGCCGTCAGCGCCACGTCGCCGTGCTGCACCCCCTGCGGGAGGAGGGGGGTCGGAGGCGAGGCCGCGCGCTCTGCGGTCCCGCGAGCACCTCCAAGAGCACGGGGACTGCCATCGCCAGCCGCGCCGTGATTTCGCCGCGGAGCTGCGCGTCGGGCTGGGGGACAGCTGCAAAGCTTGCGCCGCCGCCGCATGGCTTGCCTCCTGTGCAGCGAGCTCGCTCTCGAGGAAAGCGACTCGCGCCAGGGCAGCTTCCAGCCTCCCACGGTTTGCAGCCCGCGCCAGGGGCCATTGCCCTGCAGGCCCGACGCGCTGGCCAGAGGGACGCCGAGGGCGCTCCAGCCTGCTGGGGCAGCTGGGCCGCCGCGAGGGCGACTCGGCCACCGACCGCAGCCCCCTCCCACACTGTCGAATCTCTGCGACCTTCCGCGGGGCTCAAAACATGTTCGAACAGAAAAGGGATCGGTTTGAGCCAAAATGGCCACGGGTGCCACTGGGGCCTTCGGTTGAGCTATTCATGGGGCCACGAAGCGTGTGAGGGGTGTGCCGACATGGTCATGCGGTGGGCGGGGAACTGCATATGGACCCTGCTATCGGGGGCTTCGGTGAAGCATCCTATGGGCATACGAACTGTACGCGGGGCGTGTGAGTGGAGAGCCGCATGTGGACCCTGCCACTGGGGCCTTCGGTGGAGCTTTCTATGGGGCCACGAAACGTGTGAGGGGTGTGCCAGCATGGGCATGCGGTTGGCGGGGGCCCGCATGTGGACCCTGCATTGGGGCTTTTTGAAGCTCCCTATGAGGCCAAGACGTGTGTAGGGAGTGTGTTGGAATGGACATGCGGTGGGCGGGGAGTCGCCTGTGGACCCTGCCACTGGAGCCTTCTGTGGATCTCCCTATGTGGCCACGACACGTGTGAGGGGTGTGCTGTCATGGACATGTGGATCCTGCCGTTGTGGCCTTCGGTGCAGCTCCCTATGTGGCCACGTAGCGTGTAAGGGGTGTGCCGTAATGGTTGGCATGCGGAGGGCAGAGGCAGGGATGGGAGGAGGGAGGAGGGAGGAGGGGAAGGAAGGAAGGAAGGACGGAAGGAAGGACGGAAGGAAGGAAGGAAGGAAGGAAGGAGGGAAGGAATGATGGAAGGAAGTACATGCGGGGACTGTCTTTTCAAAACGAGGAACCAAGACCACAGGATGGTTGGGAAAAATCGAGACGCCCGATCTCTGGGGAGGGACCCTGAGATCCGGGCGGTGTTGATTTTTCAAATAGGGCGTTTTGGCTTGGCGCCGGGCCCCAGGACCATCACAGACCGATCCGGCTCGAACAATAAAATGATGCAGAAAGAGGGGTTACAGGGCTCCAGTTGCGATTCCTCGCAGTATTGCCACTTTTCCGCTGCGTCTGGCCTTAGGGGAAGGGGCCGTTCGGACGTTGCTTGGCAGAGCGTTCCTGGACGCTCTCAAAGCGTTCTGGACCGCTCTGAAACGGCCGCGACGCCTGATACATCTTCCAGGCCGGCCGATTCTCATAGATTTCCGATTTATCTCGGTTCGATTTTGTCTCGATTATGCCTTCGTTGTAGTCCTGAGGGAAGCCCGACCTCTGACTTGTTTCCATCGCGGCATATTTTCCTTGAGTTCGGACTCCGGGCGCCGTTTTCGGGCCCACGGGGGCCCCTGGTAACGGGTCCAGTACGCAGATCTGGCTTCATGATGGAAGGGGTCGTGAGGTATGGGGGGGGGGAATGCAGCGACGTAGCGCCGAAGCCTGCCTAAGACGTGGTTCCCGCGGCCCCCTTCTGGTTTTAGAACTCCTCCGTTGGAGCGGTGGCCCTAGTAGGGCCTTCATAGCCCCTTCATAGCCAGCGAACTTGGAGACCATGCTCACACCACACCGTCATTGCGGGAACCACGGCTGACGTCGCTTATCGAGACCCGCGCAGCAAGTCGGCGTTTTGCCATCTGGGGGTGCGGCTGGAAGAAATCATATCGGATGATGTCTGAGGAGCGGTCCCGAGGGAAGTAGGCCTGAGATTTGTTCCCGTGTTCGGGCGCTGGGGGCTCACCCCGGCCTGGGACCGGCAAGAACGACTCAGGGTGAAGCTTTGGTCCCAGGGGATAGGGCCCAGGACCCGTCGTTTGGAATTCGCCAATGAGGATCGGTGGCTCCGAGGAGCAGCAGCAGCGTGCCGAGAGGCACTCGGAGGAGGGAAACATATCGACCCCACTGCCCCGCAGGCTTCCTCGCGTCGTGAAACAACCAAGCGCTGCGCGGCACCAGTTGGGGGAAAGCTTCCTGTTGCATGGGCGCATTACGCGGCATTGATTGGCATATCGCTTGGAACATTGCTTGGCGTGTTGCTTGACATATCGCTTGGAACATTGCTTGGCGTGTTGCTTGGCATTGCCTTGCGTTGCTGTGCAATTCTTGGGGCCGTTGCTTGGTATTGCTTAGCATTGCCTGTCATTGCTTTGCATTGCTTGGTGTTGCTTGGTATTGCTGGGCATTGCTTGTCAGCGATGCTTGGTAATGCTTGGCAGTGCCTGGCGTTGCTTGACGCTGCGTGGCGGTGCTTGGCGCTGCTTGACATCGTGCGTCGCTCAACATTGCTTGGCACTGCCAGGCATTGCCAGGCAACACCGAGGAACACCGAGGAAACCAGAGCAACGCTGGGCGCCGCCATTTCCGAGCACCACCGAGGAAAGAGGCCCCGAGGAACCCCGAGGGCGAAGGACCCCTGGCCGACCGGTTTCCGGCAGGCACGCAACGACGCCTTTTCGGCAAAGCTTGCTTGGGGAAGCATCTGGACGAGAAGCCGGCCTCGGGCTCGTCCTCCTCCTCTTCCTCCTGCTCTACCTGCTCCTCCTGCTCCTCCTCCTCCTGGACGTCCCTGCTCCTCCTCCTCCTCCTCCTCCTCCTCCTGGACGTCCCTCATCCCCCCTCCTCCCCCCCTTCCCCCTCCTCCTCCTCCTCCTCCTCCTCCTACTCCTCCTCCTCCTCCTCCTCCTCCTCCTCCTCCTGCTGGACGTCCCTCCTCCTCCTCCTCCTCCTCCTCCTCCTCCTCCTCCTCCTCCCAGACGTGTCCCCTCCCCCTCCTCCCCCTCCTCCTCCTCCTCCTCCCTCCTGCTTGACGTCCCTCTTCCCCCTCCCCCCCCTCCTCCTCCTCTGGGGAGGGGGGACCTCTGGGGGTCCAAGTTGTGACCGAGTCACCACGACGGAGGTCTGGGCCCCTGTCGTTTTCGCCTTTGGGGGCATCCTGGGGCGGGGGGCCCTCGACTCCTCGGCCGGATTCGCCTCGAAATCTTGGTCAGAGCGCGATGCGGGAGAGGTCCAGGGAGCAGCGGTGCCCTTCTCTCCTGGCTCCCGCAGGTACGCGCGCGCCGTGATCTCGAAGTCCCTCCAGTGCGACAAGCACCCAGACCTCACCGCAGTGTCGGTCTCACGGGAGTGGGTCGAGGAGTGGCGAGGCAGGGACGCCAACGTGGAGGAGGCGCACGGGGTGCTAATTATCTTCGAGGAGGCGCCCGAGGCGAATCTCAAGAAACGTGTTCGCTTTACCGTTGGCCAGATGGTCGAGGCGGCCCGGGACGACGAGGGTGTCCTGCAGATGGCGGTGGTCAAGGCGACCGAGATCGATCGGCGGATCTCGTTGAAGTGGTGCTTCGACGCGGTCGTGCAGGAGGTGGACGTCGATCGCGTCAGGTTGGCGCCCAGGCTTGGCATATTCGGGGACGCAGAGGCCAGAGGGCAACAACAACTAAACCTGGCCAGCAATTCAGAGTCCCCTCAACTTCACTTGGTGGAAATCTTTCGATCATGAATCAGGCACCCTGGACGCGTTGCCCCGGCACCAGGCGCCTCTCCTCTTCATCCTCCTTCCACACTCATAGGATCCAAACGGGACCCACAGGTCACGCATAGGATTCCAACAGGACGCCAATAGGTTCCCAACGATTCCACTATGATGCGAATGGTATCCCCATGGGATTCCAGTAGTACCCGAATAGGAACTCACTAGGACGCAAGTAAGAATCCAACAGGATCCAATTCGGATCCCAATCGGATCCCAGCATCATCCCAGTAGGATTGCAATATGATCCCAGTAGGACTTCATTAGCATCCCGCTAGGATTCAAACTTGATTGGATCCCAGAACAGTGCCAATCATATGAAGTATTGCGCCCACGCGCGTCAATCAGTGTTCATGTTTCAGTGCTGGTCAGCTAGCTCCGCTAACACACTTAGGAAGTGTGTCTTGTCATGCTCTGCGCTTCACGTATCCCTACCAGCCCATCTAGCACCGCTTCTCGGGAGAGGTGTGCTCATCAGGGATGTGTAGCAATGGTTTTAGGACGATGATCGCTATTCGTGAGTTATCTGCGGGGGCTCCGTGCGCTCTTCCAGTGATTGTGTCCTTCTCAGTGCCCTCTGGGATCTCTAAGCAGAGAGGGATGAGTAAGGATAGGCACATGAAGAAGATAGTGTCAGGAGGATGAGAGGGAACATCTGGCGAACAGGTGAGAGGGCCTTGTCGGGGCGAGCTCTTGGAAACAGTTTCGTCTGCTCTCGCAGTGTTTGGATTCACTCTCGTTTGCATGTTGGGGCTCTAAACAGGAGAGTGATGAGGAGGGGGCTGACAAGCAAGGAAGTGATCCTGGTATAGGAGCAGGAGCGGGATCAAGGACATGAGCGGGCAGCAAGCCATTCAGAAACGGTGCCCAGACGCGTTTGCCTGATCATGGCATTGCAATGCCATGCAGTGAAACAGCCACCCACAATGATCTATGAACAACCGGATTCTACATACAACAGAAAAGCCAGTCCAGCAGCGTATCCATTCCATTCAGAGTTGATGCCCAGGCCAGCTGTCTCAGGAACCTCGTAGAGGCCTCCTAAAACCATCTCGGGAGGACGGGAGAGGAGGAAGGTGAGGAGGAGGCGAATGCGAAAGAGGGAACGGATCATGATAATGATGATGATGATGATGATGATGATGATGATGATGATGATGATGATGATGATGATGATGGTGATGGTGATGGTGATGGTGATGGTGATGATGATTATGATGATGATGATGACGATGATGATGATGATGATGATGAACATGATGATGCTGATGATGATGATGATGATGATGATGATGCTGATGTTGATGATGATGATGATGAGGAGGAGGAGGAGGAGGAGGAGGCCTGCGTGGACTCTTTGTTGTGAGAGCCGCTTGGAGGACTCTTGCAACAACCGTGCCCTCTCCCCCCCCCTTGGGGCCTCTCGTGAGGACTTCCTGAGGCCCTCTGGGGGCTCGTTTAGGAAGGCACGGGGTCCTCTTGAGGCTCTTGGGGCCGTCTTGGGACGATTCCGGGCCCCATGGCTCAAACGGGGAGGTCCTTAAGCCTATCCCCTTCCCTTGGAGGCTGAACGTTGGCCTCTTGAGGCTCTTTTGCAGCACTATTGGAGCCCTCTTGGGTCTCCCTTGGGGCTCTGTCGGGCCATCTTGGAACCATGATTGAACAATTCTTCACGCTTCGCGTATCCCCACCAGCACTTGGTCGTTCTCACCGCAGCCCTGGACATCAGCTCGCTGGCACCAGGCTTTCTGCATTCCCGTACGACACACTCGGCGAGGCAGCACGCTGGCTCCGTTGCAGCGACTGGGTGCTGTTGTCAACCATACACAGGGCTACGCCTGGCTCGGTTTTGCCCTGGGTGCGGCCGTGCAGTGAGTGATCAGCTTCCCGCTGTTGCAGTCGCCCCCCCTTTCGCAGAGCAGTCTGCGCAGCTTTCGTCAGCTGCACACCGTTATTTCGCCGCACTGTTTGTGTCGGTTTCTGTGTGCGCACGCTGGCTTCAGCCGCAGGTGGTCCTTCGCCGATGAGCATCAGTGTTCTTCTCTGTGTATGGAACCCGTGTAATACCCTCATATATACTCCTTATCCTTACCTCTCCCGCACCTGGCCGTTTGGGCTCAGGTACTGAGTTGGAGCGATCGTACCTTGATCGCTTGGGAGGGAAAGATATCCATCTATCCCTCCATCTCTCTACCAACGGATCAGGGGTTCTGTACTCTTGTACTTCAACCCCATACACAGGTTATCAGCCCTTTAACGCTCACCTTCACCGACTCGCCCGCGGTGACCTTGCATGCGAGCCCAATGGAGCCGCTTCGGCGCATGCGCCGTAAGGGTTCCATTGGGGCTTCGCGTCCAAGCTCTCCCACGGTGCGACGGCTCGGTGACGAGTTGGAGAGCATTAATGCGGACTGTGTTGGTGTCCCCGATACCCCCCCCAGCTCCCGAGGACCCGAGGCGCGTCTAGCTGCTGAACTTCGCCGCAGCGCCGCCCGCGGGGGGACAGGAGAAGGAGTAGGAACAGGAAGGAAGGAGTTTCACACGCCGACCTTTGATCCTCCCTCCCCTTCCCCGTCGGGAGCAATCCCAACCGCGTCAGGCGAAAGCCTTGCCGGTCTCGATACTCCAGGGCGCTTCCGCGCTAACCGTCGATGGACCTCAGGTGCTGGAACTCCCAGCCCTGCGACCGTCCCTGTGGCGGAGCACGTAGCTACCTTCGAGGAACTCAGTAGACCAGTGTCGGCACAGCCACAGACGCGGTACCCCAAGGTATCATCGGATGAGACATCACACACACATGGTCCGAGTCGCAGCTCGTCCGCGCGCAACCGCCGTGGAGCCCCAGGCCCATACGGCGAAAGCAGGTCGAGCTCGCGCACTGCCTCTCAGAGGCCATGCACTCCCCGCGACAGGGGACACAGGGAAGCTGACGCTCCCCACCTCTCCATCTCAGACGACCAGCTGGCGGAGACGTCCGCCGCAGGTGACATAGCTGAGCTCAGAGACCAGGTTGAAACCTTCGTGTCCAGCCAATACTCTGGACTACTACAGAGCGTTCAGACGAACGCCACTGATACTGCAGCCATACGTCGCGATCTTGACGGCGCCTTAGGGATCATCGATTCCAGGATCGCCGAAGATAGACGCATCATAGGAGAACTGCAGTACCAGGTTGATCGTGAGGTGTCACACTCAGGTGAACGAACGGCGATGGTCGAGAACCTGCGCAACTATCTCGCGCAGATGGAGCAACAACTTGTGATCGTACGCGACACAGGCATTTCTGCGGTCAGGATTTTACACGATGAGATCCACGACCAGCTCCGTAACCGACCAACCCCAACCGAGGCCACAGACCTCGGCGACGTTCAGTCTCAGATCAATGATCTTCGATCTTACCTAGACCACACTACGGCGACGCTTCGTACCGAAGCACACACAAACTCGTCGAACCTGATCGACATGTTGCAGCGTACTGAGAGAGTCATCACTCAAAGGCTTGATGCGACCAACGCTGTCGTGCAGCCACTCGCTAACCGGATCTCTGACATAGAGCAGCGTTTCCCTGGTGTACAGGACGCCCTGGCAGAGTTGCGTGTCGGACGAGCCCAGACTGATCAGCTGGATTCTCCTCCCACGGTTTACGATTTCGCCCGCCTCACTGACAGGTTGCAGGAGGTTGAGAAGGCGGCGGACCACACGCAGTTAGAGCTCTCCCAGGTTATTCATGAAAGAGATACTGAGAAGGTACGTGTTGAGAGTTATCTCGCACGTCTGGAAAGCGAGGTGGAGGCACAAAGCGCCCGTCTCCGAGCATGCGAGCAACGACTTGATCGGTATTCCCAACGGTCTCGGGATACTGATGAGTACACACGCCAAAAGGTGGGTCAAATACAAGAAGACATGACGAGCTGGACGAATCAGCTGATCGACCACACCAACGACACCAACATTCACCTTCGACCTGCAGCCGACCCGCACAGGCCGACGGCAGCGTCCGCCGAAGCACCACAAGCTTCAGCAGGACAACAACGACGTACATCTCCAGGAGCAGCCTCCGCGGCAGTTTCTGCACAGACACGACATGTGTCTCCTGTGCGCACAGAACCAACCATCGACGGTGCACCGATACCCTCACAACCAGTGTCTGCGGTGTCGGTACATACAACGACGCCTATCAAGGAGTCAGACACCGTTCGAGTACCTGTCTTGCCTAAGATCACGCAGCTGCTGGAATGGCAGCAAAGAGTGCGAAAGAACTTCGGGGCCGCCTCAGGGCGACCATCCAAAGCATACGCCTTCCTATGCGTGGCAGAACAACCCGAATGCACGTTCGAGGATTTACAAGACAGTGGAGACTTTGAGAGCATCGATTGCAAACTCGCAACCGCTCTGAGCGACATCTTATCCTCAGACTTACGCTACCAAATCAGGCTCATCGAGACCAGAGAGCACAAAGCAGGACGCATGCTCAAAGGACGCCAGATATACTGGCATATCCTACAGTCCTACAAAGTGACAGACGTCGACGACGACCTGCACGATTTCGAGCGCCTTAAAGAACTGAGGATGAGAGACGAAGATTTGCAACGTTTCATTACCGATTGGGACGCCTTACTCTTGGAATGCCGAGAAGTACCCGATCCAAAGATATTGGAATCGCTATTCCGCACACAGATTCGTAGACATGCATGGATGAAACAAGACATGTACGAGTACCAGCGCATGAAGATGAGCGACCCGAATCGTACCTACGGTTGGCTTCGACAGCGTGTCCTGGACATACTGGAGATTAAACAATTGGAGAAGAATCAAAACAAGCTACGGTACGAACACGAGACACGATCTCAGGTCAACGTGTGCGTTGCATGGAAGAAAGGCAATTGTCGCAATGGTGAACGGTGCAAGGCTTTACATACATATTCCAGGGATTGGAAGAACAACAAATCTTCCAGAACATCAACGGCTGGTGGCAACCCCCGCCGTAGCATGTCCTTTCCTGCGAATCACAAGAAGCCAGCATCAAGGCCGTTCTGCTTCGATTTTGCCAAGCGCAGCACATGTACCAGAGGTGATAAGTGCAACTACCCGCGCGTCGCACAGTGCAAGGATTTCGCACAGAACAAGTGCACAAAAGGCGACAAATGCAAATACGCTCATCTCGCACCTGGTGCAAAGACTCCTGAACGAAGCCCGAGTCGACCGCGGACTTCCAGCCAGGACAGCCGTGGCCGATCGCCATCCCGCGGATCAGGAAGCCAACGGTCTTCACAACGCGGGGGGTTTCGCTACGCTAGCGATTCACGACAGGGACGTGACAACCGACGCCAATACGACCGATCCCGTTCGACATCCAGGAGGTCCCAAGACTCTCGCAGCCAATCGAGAAGTCGTTACGACAGATCTTCGAGATCTACCTCCCGAGGACGAGACAATCGTGGCGGCGGACGCGGCAGTCCACGCGGCCGTGATAGATCATATGGCAGTGACAAAGGACGTGGCAAGCGGTATCCGAGCCGCGGATCGTCCCGTGGTTCACCCAACACTAGAGCACGTTCTCCTGCCAACTTTAGACATTCACGCCGTTCAGACCGCAGTTACGTCATCCGCGACAAGACCCTCATGGCCAACACCAAGGCCACAGCGACATCTACCAAGATACGTCGTCGGATACGCTTCGACGTACGCAACGTGGACTACTATTTCCATACCATATCTGGCAGAGCCAGACTGGACAGATGGAAAGAGCTGCCGAATGAGGGTGACATCGTCGAAGTACCAGATCCGTTACCACAAAAATGGTGGGATAATAGTGCAGAGGCCTTACGAGAATGTCAAAAAGAGGCACAACTATGGTGCGACGAACTGTACGACTACCGACACAACAAAGAATCGGTGGCCACACCAACTGCGATCCGAAAGCATGACGACACTGTCAAGCATTCATCAAAGATTGCCCAGACGACAACAACGACAAAGCAGGTCGACACCCCACGCTCGACTGCAGCATTGACAAGGTCTTGGGTTCTTGACAGTGGTTCTGCCCATCATATTCAGGGAAAACATGAACTTACGCAGACCGAGTCGGATCGCATATCTATTCGCGAAGAGCATATTCTGGAAACTGCAAATGGTGATCGTACCGTCAACGAGCACTACGACATACGGCTACCCGAAGTTGGACTGCATAGTTCAGCCCTTGCTTTACCAGACTGCCCATCATTACTATCAGTTGGAAAATTGATCGAGGTTGATGGCTTTCGACAGCTTTGGGATCCTGAGCTGGGCTACATGCTTCAGGATCCGGGGGGCCAATGGTATAAGATTCCAGTCAACAATCGAGTGCCAGAGTTACGACTCGACGACTTAACACGGATACCACCACCACGTTTATGCACTTCGTCAGCACCCCGCCGTCGTCAGCGAAAGCGTTCATCCGCCCGCTGTAACGACACTTGTTGGTGCTGCAAAACTACAGAGCAACCAACCACTGCAGACGAGCTACGACCCCACATAGGGACCTGCCCCAAGAGACCACATGTCGGAGAGGGAGGAGGAGCACGGACCATCACGGTCGAAGAACCTCCCGACACAAGAACAGACGAGACCAACGTGGACGCTACCACCGACTCGCCTACGTCTCAGATGCAGTGTTCTCCTCCACAATGCGGGGGGTTCGATATAGCTCAAGCAGACAACAACATACCGACAGAGACACCCACGCGAACGCATCCAGACAACGATCGAGTTCTGCCCAACAGACAAAAGAAACCGATCGACCCGATGCATTACATGACTCACAGCCCAAAACATCCCGACTGTGAGATCTGTTCTCGTACGATGGCACAGAATGCCCCGTGTAGACGACAGCACAAACCACATCCACCGGCAGACCCCACCGAAGAGGATAACGCCTACGAGGCTTTTGTCCCGAAGAAGTTCGGTGAAGCTCTAACTGCCGACCATATCGTACTGGCCAAAGACGATGCCGCGGACAAACATGGCGACAAATATGCACTTGTTGTCCTTGACAGATATACTGGCATCTTCATGGCCTACCCAGCGCTACACAAAGACGCAGCTACTACAAAGGCATCCTTTCAACAGTTCATCGCCGCGAACGATGAGGTGAAGCATATCTACACAGACAATTCTGGAGAGCTTCAGAAAGCTTGCCGCCAATTGGGATGGAGACACGACACGAGTACGCCACATCGTCCACAGACAAATGGATTGATTGAGCGCGTTGTCAAAATTGTCATCCTTGGTACCAGAGCTGTGTTACATATGTCTGGTCTGGGACACGAATGGTGGAAAGAGGCCATGCAAGCCTTTTGCTGTGGACACAACTTTGTGCATACATCCACGGGCGTCGCTGCCCTCAACGAGGAGCATGCAGAAAAGACAGCTCATGAAATAAGATTTGGCGAAAGCTTTCCTGGGCACTGCATACCATTCGGTGCTCGGATATTTTGGAAATGCCTCAACCCCGAGATTAACAACGAGACTGCAAAGTTCAAAGAAAATACTCGGGAAGGGTTATTCATGGGGTACCACTTACACTCTGGTGGACGATGGTCAGGTGACTACCTTGTTTTGGACACGGCTACATACGCCAAGAACCCTGATGGTGATCTGTGTCATGTGCACAGAGTCAAAGACATCATCATCCCTGATGGCAAGTTCACCTACCCCGTGAAAGATGGTACTCTGCGACATCATAACCCTGAGGCACACGACGAGGTGAAGGCATCTACTTCTCGCCCCTTGGGTGACAAGCCAACGCCTGATCCTCCACTTTCTTACCCTACAGAATGGGATGATCCGTCTATGATGACGACGGAAGATAACGCTATTGATATCCAGACATCGGCTTCTGAGGTTGCGGCACCAGCGCCGGAGCCCGACTACTGGGAACAGCGCGGATATTGCGTCATCAGACACATTCGTACCCCAAGAAAGAAACTATTCATCCCAACGGACGACGTCATGAATATACCAGTACCTGTTGACCAACTCGACGTGACACGAGATTTCAAAACGACTTCTACTTTCGAGGGCGAAAGTAACTTCCGAGATGTTTGGGATGGTGTTAGCGCCAACGACCACAGGGAGCTGAGCGAGCCGTGGACAGGCACGATTCAGTTCTATGAGCTTCCAAAAATAACGCCAGACGGCAAAATGGTGGTTCGTGGACGCGAGACACGTGTGCAGACTACTACACGTCCTGATCACGTTCTTCCCGAGCGTTGGAAAACACTTCCCCGTGGACAGCAAAAGAAAGAAATCGATTACGCCAACGACGTTAAACTATAGACCCCTGGGATGGGGGGGGGTGAGGCCCCTGTTTGATGGACTTTTTTTTTTTTCGGTATCGTTTCTGGGTTTGGGGGGTTTCTGTGGTTCCGCGTTTGGCTCAACTGGTTTCGCACCAATCATGATCATCACCGCCATCGACATTAGCGTCGCCATTGTCACTCCATCACCATAGTTACGTCCGTCATCACGGTCATAGCCAATGACGCATGCGCCGTCATCGTTATCATCACCATCGCAATCATGATCGCCATCCGTAAACATTTGGGCTCAAACTGTTCTGTCATGCAAACCCCCATCCTCATTCCTCGAGCTGCTTCTACACAACCGTCGTTCAGAACGGGCCACGATAAAAAGCGAGTTCGAAACAAGTTGCCCAAAGTGTTCTTGGCTGTTTCTGGAGACAAACACATATTGGGGGCTTTCCTCCTCAGCAATGTGTGCGAAATGGGTTCTGGTCGACTTGTAGCTGTGGTGGCAGCGTGGTGCCCGCTGAGATCGCCCTTCCCGACCACGACGGCGTCGTCGAAGTTTGTGGGCCCTATATATTCGTTTCTTCCAGATGTGGAAAAAGATATACGATGCGCTCCCGCGCAGATTGGCTCAACTTTAAATGAACACTTCAGTGCGTTCGCTCACTCTTCATGGCGGGCGTGGAAACTTGATAAAGACGCAGAGTTGGCATTCAAGAGTCCCAGTCCGCCTCAGCAGTTCTATACTGAACGCAAATATTTGTTGGGCATCGGCGTGGCAGCCGAGAAAATATCGCAGATCCGTGACGTGGTCCCGTTTGCATCTGAGGAGCCAGGCGTGCTCGAGGACGTGGCCCCTCTCGAGGACAGCGACGTGGCGCCTCTTGTGTCTGGGGACTCCGCGGCGTCGTCGCGCGCCGCCAGAGGTGGTGGAAGTGGCGCCGCTCATGCTGCGCTTGATCACCTACACGGCATTGCTCGAGCGAGGTCGGGCGGCTTCGTGCCTCACGTGTTCGACCCCTTCTATCTCATGGCCGCTCTCCAGTTGAAACATCATTCGAAGCAGGGTAGGTCCCTGAAGTCTGTATTGCACCATGCTGCACCGTTCTTCTTCGACCAGGGCCAGAGTAGTCAGTTTCAGCATGGACTCAGAGAGTGCGCGTTGCCGACGGAGTCGACCATGCGCGAAGCGCGCGTTCAGCTCGACCTCCTTTCTTCAGGTTACGCGAGATTGAGACAAAAGGATTACGTCAACTGGATCTACTTGAACCCCGACAGCTCTCCACAGCTAGGATGGAATTGGCTGGTGGTTCGGGAAGATAAGTTCTCTTGGCCCAAAGATTATAGTATCGATGAGATCATGGCTTCGAACTTCAACTCCAAGCTGCAGTCTCGGACCTGCCGTTTGTCAACGATCGGGAGAGGCCACGGTACGGCTATATTCAAGTCTGTGAGCCTCGCTACGTTGCACAAGTGCGAGTGCTCCAGCATCGAGGACTATAATAAGTTGAGGTCTGAGGTGTATGGAATTTGCACAGATCAAGGAGTTGAGTCAGCCGTTGTCGATATCGACACTCTTGAGCCCAAGGGCGACGGCCCCGAGAACTACTCTGACAAGCGTGCCCGCATGTACCCGAACGCCCTGGGCATGCCAGAATCGTTGCACATCATGTTCAACGCTTTACAACATGCCGTTGAGAAGTTGCCATGCCACAAAACTTTCATATCAGATTTACGGAACATAGAGAATTTTCTGGCTGATAGATCGTTGAGGCGATTGTTCGTCAACACGTGCCTCGACGATTCTTTGAAATCCAAATTCGACCACTATTCAACAGTGCACATCAGCTGGAGGTGGGAGGTCCTTGTCAAGGCGCTCACTGAATTGATCCCTCGCTTTTCAATTTTGAAAGATCGCTTTGACTTGGGAAAAATGAAAGCATCTCCAGAGCGGCAGGTAAAGACACACGTGATAGACGATGCGTACGCTTCCCTGCAGGTGCCGCACTTTTTAGAATTCTGTATCATGGTAAAGACCAGCGGCAACACACTTGAACGGTTTGCGAGTCGCCTCGAGGGTTGCGAGTGCCACGCCAGTCTTTGGAAGTCCCATAGCAACCACAAGAAGAAGACCCGACTGTTGGAACGAGACACTGGTTTCGCACATTGCTTCATGAAGGGGCGGCAAGCATCGTGGTGGTTTGCCGAAGGGCTGGACCAGTGCTTGGAGGCGCTGAAGAAGTGCGACTCCGACGAGTTGCAACTGGCCATGGGCAAGCTCGACTGCGAGCCACGGGCGCAACTCCTTCGACTCCAGACCCAATTGGCGGATTCGTTGGTCGAAGAGCTTTCTGATAAGTTCGCGTTCAAGGACGTGATCCCATATGCGGCACTCAAGATCTACATGTGCGAAATTCCTGGGGGGAACTTGCATTCTGCTAGAATGGACGCGGCAGATTGCGTGCGTCAGTACGATTCAGCAGTGGAGGCTGGCAGGGGGCATCTGCTCCATCGAGTCGCGCACTTACTTCTGCGACCTGGCACGCACTGCAGGAGCGAGCTCGACGATTTCGCCAACGGGGTAGGGCACAGCTTGCGGGACTTCACGCACCTGCACTCCATGATAATGAGGTATGCTCTGATACCGATCGTGGGGAGGAGAGTAGAGGGGGCCCATGCTATCATCAGGCGCCTCGGCCTCATCGCGAAGAACATGTCACCTCCGTGTATTTCTGCTTCCAACTCCGAGGCTGAGCACTTGGCGCGCTTGGATAACGATGCGGAGTTCAAGCGGTATTGCCAATCGACCTGGAGTTCGAAATCTCTTCTGAACGGTTTGTTGAGCTTAGTTGTTCCGGGAGATGCATTGAAAGAAATGAGCAGGAAGGACAAGATCAACCGAGTTTACCAATGCGACCTCGCGTCGGAGTTCAAGGACCTCAGCGTTGAAAGGCAGTCCCATGACACGTGGAAGCTGCTAACTCAACACCTACGGAGTGCGCATCCAGGCTTCCCATATTCGTGGAAGATCGTTGTCACGTATTTGAAGGAGAAGCTCTGCTCTGGTAGCATATTTTCTTTACCGACGAGCTTGTACAATCTTGCTCTGGTCGATCATGGGCCCGATGAAATCGATATCTCTGCGGTTAACCCTTGGGAGCAAGCCATCGATGCTATCGGCCATGAGCCCAGCGAGTTCCAGTTCGATGCGGTCGACTCTGTTACATTTTTTGAGGTCGTGAACCCCTGGCCCGAGAAGCGGAAGCAGATTGCGTTATCTCACATTATCGAATGGGGCGATCGCGTCAACGTCAGGAGGCGCCTCACCTTGCAGACCGACGTTTGTGACAGGAGCGTTACGCTATTGTGCGATGCGGACTATGCTGAAACGCTCCACATGCGCCCGTTAGTTCACGACTTGAAGCGGTCTCTGTTGTCTTTGTACACGTGGGCCGTGATGGGCGACGGGTCTGCTTTGGGAGTGCGCCAGCGGAATCTGGGAGAGCCCGAGCACATCGTTGCTGCGCCTCGCAGCCTGGTGATTCCCAGTGCGAGTGACGCGTTGGTTGTCTCGTCGCCCGCCGAGGTCGTCGCGCTCCCCGACGTTGGAGAGTTGGCTCTGGAGCGGTATGAGGCTACGACCAGCGAGAAGATGGTGGCATGTTTAGGCAAACTCCGAGACCTACAGCATGGCGACGACCGAGACGACGATCCTGTCTGGGTTCAGTACACGGCGCTGGAAGGCGTGCACATGAACACGATCCAAGATTTGCACAAGGCTGGAGCAATCACCGCCGTGAACGACGAGTTCGGGGAGTTGGTCGTTTGTCTGCAAAAGGCTGGTACTATGTTCAGGGCAGTGCGTAAAGTTGGCAGGCCGCTGCAACTCTGTTTTGTGGATAGCACCAAGTTTGCCAGCAAGCTGGACATGATATTTGCTCTACTTCGTGGTGGATGGAAGCCTGGTGCCACTAGGCCGTTCAAGATACGTGGTGCGCGCAAGTTCATGTGCAATAAGGACAGGCCTTTGAGTTATTTTGCATGTCTTCTCCAAGTTGACATGCTATTTGAGAAGGGGTTGAAGCAGCTGCCGCACGATTTGAAGGACTACCATTACCAGTGCTTCCTGCGTCTTGCTGGACATGCACTGCTCGCGTTCGAGGCCGACTTGCAGTCGCATGGCCTCGAAGAGTGCAGGCGCTTGCTGCGCGATGCCCCCGAGGCGCCAGTCGACGCGCCTCCCCTGGAGGACGACCTCGAGCCAGCAGCGTCGGTGGAGGTACGACCGCCTTTGCTCGCAATCTCTTTGCCAGACACCGAATGGAAAAGGTGCCGCGTGCGTTGTGAGGGCGGCCGCTCTTTCAAAGTGATATATGACCATTGCACTGGCCACGATGGGAAGCAGAGAGGGTACGTCAATTGCAAAGATCCAAACCATGAGAACTGCTTCAAATGGAGGCCTTGCGAACATTTCCAAACGAGAGAGGAGCATTGCGCTTTCTTGTGGCGTTGGGCGGCCGACTCAGCGAGCTTCGCTGGGCGAGAGGGCCACATGTCTCACCTTCCTTCGCAGGCGAGCGTTGCCGTTGCACTGCAGACTGTGTCCTTGATTGACTTCTGACAAAAACAAACTATGAAACCGAGTTACACTCCTTCATAATAACTCCCAGTTGCACCCCGTCGCATAGAGACACTGCCAGACAGCAAATAGCAACACATGTGTATTTCAGTGTTGCGAGTTCCTGAACTATTTAGAAAAACCAGGTCGGTTTCGTTCGCTGGTTTCGTTGTCTGGACCAGCCGTGCACCCAGGAAACGCCATATTGCTCGCATCATTGATGTTGGATTCTGGCTAGTGCGTTATTTGGTAGTCTGATCTCGAACCTCAACGCTTGCCCTTCGGCAAAACTCAATTTGCAGTGTTATTTACATAACTGATTTGTGAGCACATCGAGATGTCTTTTGGATGTCGATATTGATTCGCATGTTACCAGATTTGTGAGCACGTTGGGATGTCGTTGGGATGCGTTCCCAGATTTGTGAGCACATCGAGTTGAGTCGGGCCCTAATATGTCTGAACGACGTTTCTGTATCGCATTTATGGATCAAGCCAGATTGGCGCATCTCTGGGCGTGTTGATTTGTCTTCCAGTTCGACTTGAGCCGCTCATTGCGAGCGCATGCGCAACCTCGTCGCTCCCATTGTGGACGACACTACCTGAGCAATGGATCTTGCAGGCCAAGCCTCGCCTACTGTGGTCCCACATGCTTCGCCGACTGGGGAACGCGATGCGGACGTGGCCAGCGTCGCTTCTAGTCAACTCGGATTGGGCGCAGAGGCTGCGACCTTGGGCAAGTATGGCCAGGCCATGGAACGCCACTCTGGTGGAGTGCTCGGCGGCAACTCTTTGGTGGATCAGGCGCTGTCGCAGAAGACCCTTCTCGCGGGAGTTGCAGCGCCGCCGACGCCTTCGACTACACCTGGTGGCGGCGTCGCCCAGCGCCCCAGCCGTGGGCAAAGCAGCCGCCCCAGCAAGGTCGGCTCACGAGATATGTTCTGGTGCTGTAAGTGCCATCAGGAGAGGCCGATGTCACTTTGTGTTTCGCGCGGGACGCAGCAAATCTGCGATCCAGACGTCAAGGCCTACAACAGCCTCGTTGCTCGCTGGAAGGGCAAGCCATGCTTGCGCAAGTGGTGGCATGGCAAGTCGGAGGCCGAGCAGGCTGAGTGGTACCGCAAGCAGCAGGCGCACGTTCCAGGTACGAAGCGGAAGTTCGACGAGATGGAGGTGTCCGAGACGAGCGCCAGGATGGCCGTGAAGGACGACGTCAAGGAGGACGACTGGATCCCGCTCAACATCTACCAGCGGCGAATGGCCATGGAGGGCGTCAGCAATCCTGATGCCGCCCAGGAGTTCAAGAGGATCGTTGAGCGCGGCGAAGGCCTCTGGCGCGCTGGCCAGTGGCACGTCCACGACTACCAAGGTTTCAAGATGCACACGGGCATCCGCGAGGCTCAGGGCTATGCCACCACGGGCAAGTACGCGGTCGCGGGCCGCGAAGACCTCGCCAGACGAGTGGAGGAGTGCTCCACCAAGTTAGACAGCCAGCTCCTCGCACACGAGCAGTCCTTGAATGGTTTCCAGGCCGCCCCGTCTCGCGATGCTCCCAACATCCAGTGCCCCACGAACGGCGGCGTCACTCTCCCGCAGTGGCACGACCACTTCGAGGCCGGCATCCATCGCGAGGCACATTGGGTAGGCCTCAAAGGGAACTCCCCCGCTACTTAGCCTCCTGCCCATCCGCCTTTTCCTGGGGATTCACTGGTGTACGTTAGTGGCAGAAAACAAACACGACACTAGTGTTCAACTAGTGTTTGACTCATGTTTGCTCATGTTTGGTGTTTTCTGGATCCCATGGAAAAGCGGTCGCATACTAAACACACGAAGTGAAACTAGTGTTCAACTAGTGTTTGACTCATGTTTACTCATGTTCGGTTTTTTCTGGGATCCCCTCGAAAAGCGGTCGCATACTAAAAACAAAAAGCGAAACTAGTGTTCAACTAGTGTTTGACTCATGTTTACTCATGTTTGCTTTTTTCTGGTTCCCATCGAAAAGCGGTCGCATACTAAACACACGAAGTGAAACTCGTGTTCAACTAGTGTTTGACTCATGTTTACTCATGTTTGGGTTTTTCTGGGATCCCCTCGAAAAGCGGTCGCATACTAAACACACGAAGTGAAACTAGTGTTCAACTAGTGTTTGACTCATGTTTACTCATGTTTGGGTTTTTGTTGGATCCCCTCGAAAAGCGGTCGCATACTAAAAACAAAAGACGAAACTAATGCTCAACTAGTGTTTGACTCATGTTTGCTCATGTTTGGTTTTTTTTCTGGATCCCCTCGAAAAGCGGTCGCATACTAAAAACAAAAAAACGAAACTAGTGTTCAACTAGTGTTTGACTCATGTTTGCTCATGTTTGGTTTTTCTGGGATACCCTCGAACAGCGGTCGCATACTAGAAACAAGAAAACGAAACTAGTGTTCAACTAGTGTTTGACTCATGTTTACTCATGTTTGGGTTTTGTGGGAAATTACCGGAGTGACGTTCGGGGCAGATACCGAAATGTCAACTCGTGCTCAAGTCGTGTTTGTCTCATGTTCACGTGTGTTCTTGCGTTTGCGATGCGTTGCCCGCCGCAGGCAGCGGCGGCCGAGCGACTGGAGGAGGCACACAAGGCGATGGCGGCGGCAGACGACATGGAGGCCGCTCTGGCCCGCCAGGGGACTGGGGCCGCCGCGGTCGCAACAGGCGAGGCGGCGGACTCCTCGAAGTCGAAGGCCTCCCTGAACGTGAAGAGGATTGGCGTGCTGGCCAGGGTCTCGACCGCCGAGGTTAAGCGCACGGAGAAGATCGCGCACCTCCAGACCCAGATGACCCAAGCAGACGGCAAGTGTGATAAGGTGGTGAAAGCGAACCCTGGTAGCGAGGAAGCGATCAAAGATCTTCGAGCGGAGATGCACGACTTGAACTCGAAGGCCATCGAGTACGTGAACTCGGACTACAAGAATATCCTCGATAAGATCAAGGTCGACGTGAATACGTCCACCACTGCCGGTGCCTTGGACGTCGCCGCGGCCTCCCTCGTCACCCACACGAAGACTCTGAACGCGGGCGCGGTGGCAGATTTCGCAGCGGTCCTGCGGAAGTTGACGTCGCAGACTGCGGGGCTCTCGCGGGCCAAAGGCGACTCGTCCACGAGGAAGCAAGAGAAGGATGCGTCGATGAAGACCGCCACGAGGCCTGTCATGCACACCATCCTGGTTGATGACACCGCAGTAGACTTCCACAATATCGCCGAGTCCATCTTCGAGGCCAAGGGCGGCTTGCGCCCAGCGGTTGCCAACGCTGCCAGCGGAGAAGCCTTCGACAAGATCAGCAGCCTGCCCATCGTCAAGAAAGGGATGAACGCGTGCCGTTTGTCCTTGAAGACGGGCATGGGCACGGTCAGCCAGGTCCTCTCAGCGGGCCGCCTTGCGGAGAGAAAGCTCGACGAGGCAGTGCAGGGGTGCTTCGGCCAGGACGTCCGCACGAGGATGCCCCTTCCGAAGGCGGAGTGGGCTGATCAGGTATTCAAGTTCGAGCTGCTCGCGACTGGCGCCTCTGCGCTGCTGGTCAACTGGGCACCGTGCTGCATGATGAGCGCCGTCGTGATGATGGCAGGGAACGCAGCGCTGGCGGGCATCAAGCCCGATCGCGTGCCAGGCAGCACGTGGGCGGAGAAGCGGGACTACCTGTACCAGTGCGAGAGCTCCCGCCTGATCGCGCTGATCCACGACGGCGGCTGGTTCTGCAAGTTCGAGAACGGCAACACCGCGAAGGGCCACTGCATGATCGTGATCCCCTCGGGCTTCATGCTTCTTACCGCCGCCGACGGTGCCACCATGCTCAGGTGGCCGCTCGTCTCCGACGATGCTGACAAGCAGCGCGTCAGCAGTGGCCTGCACAGTCTGCTGGACTCCTTCCCAGAGTTTCGCGCCGAGGCGCTGGGCCACACGCAGATGGCCAGCTATCTCGACAGCCATCGCAGGTGATGGAAGTTCAGCTTGGTGGATAATCTAACGCTGGTGCCGCTCAGCTGCAGGCTTGTGTGGCACGGCACTCTTACATGTATTGTGTCGGCATTTTGAGTTTGCGAGCCGATTGCTTGGCAGTGGTTATACATTACAATCTGTCGGTTTCATGTTGCAACATATGTGCGTCTAGACTTGCGAGGAAATATGTACACTACAGATTCTCTTGGACTCTCCGTCCATAGTGCGCCGCTTGGGGACAGAAGTCTGCGCCTGGGATTCTGACCGAAAACGTACTGGGAGCTTTCTTGTTTCATGCGTTCTCTTGTGAAGCTAATGTGTTCTCTAACTGCAAGTTGCGCTATCCCACGTCTCCCCCGTCGTCGTCTTGGCGTCCGCTCACGTGCAATGCATGGTCTCTCGGCCCTGCCGTTGTAATCCTAGAGGCTTTCGCCGTTCCGCTGTCCCACTGTGGGGGATGTGGGCGTTCAATCACTAGTACGATCGCCTGTGCAAGTACAATCATGAGTATGCGTGCAACGATCGGCACCATCACAATCAGCACGATCACCCGTGCAATCACCAGCGCATGGCATGTGTAAACGCACGTGCGCGCACGCCAGTACACGTGGACTTACACGCACAATAGTTTTTTCATCAGCGACCCCTCGGGGCCCGAACGGTTGATCAACAAACAGAGCTCATACGTGAGCAGCAAACGAACCAGTTCCTATAAATGCGATTCTCGTTGGCCGAAGAATGAATTCCTATCGAGGCGCTTCTCGCTGGCCGAAAAGCTTCACCGATAAACGCCGTTAGAATCAGAGGCGGGCGATCTTGCCGCCGCGAACACTCGACAGGCCGACGTTGCCCGTAGGTTCGCGGTATCATGCTCGCGGCTCGTGGGCGACGTGGGAACTGGTTAGTGGTTTGCGGTTCTCTCCCTCTGCATTTTCCTGGGGGGCCTCACCCCCCCCCCCATCCCAGGGGTCCACACGTTAAACGAGCCCGTGAGATTCGTGATCGTGCTGCATTGTGAGTGTGGACAAGACAGGATAAACAGGTCAACAATTTCCGTACTACTACATCAGGCGGACCCACATGGAATACTGTGGAACGACGGATTACATACGACACTGACAATGGTGACGTCATCCGCGACGAGAATGTCAAAGGCGTGACAAACAAAGAAATACTGTATGCCAAATTACCTGGTGGGCCACGTGACATTACCACGGTACTATACTACCGTCAACTACCACAACAGCACGATGGAGAAGAACGTGCTTTGGTATTTGTGGATAATGAAGGAACCGACTTTGGGACTTTGAACCCGCTCATACGCAAGTTCACCCAGTCGGTAGCAATACCAACCATGCCACGTGAGACCAACTACATGCCGGCACACAGAGATAAAATACCATATTCGACATGGTCACGCCCAGCATGAGTTACCAGAAACCTGAGTAAGAAAGAAGTTGCCGCATAACCACGTGCACAAGAAGCCCTACGAAAAGAATACGAGAGATTGGAAACGAAACAAACATGGATGTTGGAGACTGTTGCAGAAAAAGCTGACATTGAGTCACAAGCTATTCGCAATGGAACAAAGGTGCATTTCTTCAATATATTGGAATTATCTTCAGTCAAACATGAAGAACTTCCTCCTGATCTACGTAAATTCAAGGGCAGAGTGGTGGTTCAGGGCAATACAGGCAAAGATGAAACTGGTTTGGCCGCCATATTCGCCGACGCCGCTTCCAGTGCTTCGCATATAGAGGCTTCCAAACTTTGCGATGCTACTGCATTATTACCGCAATATGCGGGGGAGCAAAGTGACGCACCTGGAGCTTACACGCAGGCATTATTATACGGCGACGGACGAATTGATCCAGTTGATACTTGGATTACTATACCTAAATGGCGACAACCGACATCATGGTCAAAATACAATAACCCAGTGTGCCGATTGCGATTGGCACTATACGGACACCCTCTTGCAGGTGTCTTTTGGGAACGAAAATGCCGTACATGCTTGGAAAGCGTCGGTTTCGAGCCTATTTCAGGATGGGAATGTGTATGGAGACACAACAAACTGGGACTGATACTTTCAGTATATGTGGACGATTTCAAATTGGCCGGCCCAGCTCATAATCTACAGACTGGCTGGGATTATATTCGTAAAAGCGGTATCGATTTGGATCCACCTACTCCATACTCACAATATTTGGGTTGTGGACAACAAGCATATGATGTACCGCAGAGCATCTTCGACAAAAGAATGTCCACAATACGCCCTATGCTACCTGCACACAATGAGAAAGATTACAATACGGCAAAACACGTTCGTGGCATTCGACATGACATGCTTGGTTTTACAGATCAGTGCATTGAGCGGTACCTGGAATGCGCCTCCAAGCGCGCCCAGGGAACAGGGTCACGTCGGAAACGATCCGACTCGCCGAGGGCTTCGCGATCCAAATCGCCATCCTCCTCCGGGTCGGTCGCCAGACCTACTAGTGTGCTCAACGCACGGACAAGATCATCCAGCCCAGCAAAATCGGTCGACACAACTTCTACCAATACCATACCCGCCACATACCATGATCTACCCGACGCAGAGACCCCTGGCATCGAGGACACCTCCTTCACTGAGTCCGACTATTCAGACGAGGGCGTTCTCGGCCAGGACGCGGCAAGTGTACGAATGAAGATCC